ACTGGGGTTGTTTAGTCTGGAGAAGAGGAGGCTGAGGGGAGACCTGATCGCCCTCTACAACTGCCTGAAAGGAGGCTGTAGTAAGGTGGGGGTCGGCCTCTTCTCCCTGGTAACAGATGATAGGACGAGGGGGAATGGTTTGAAGCTGCGCCAGGGCAGGTTTAGGCTAGACACTAGGAAAAACTTCTTCACCGAAAGGGTTGTCAGGCTCTGGAATGGGCTGCCCAGGGAGGTGGTCAAGTCCTCATCCCTGGAGTTATTTAAAAGAAGGATAGATGAGGTGCTTAGGGACATGGTTTAGTGGTGGGATGTCAGGGTTAGGTTAAAGGTTGGACTCAATGATCTCAAAGGTCTTTTCCAACCAAAGTGATTCTATGATTCTATGACCACAGTGCTTAGCAGTGAGATTCCTTCTTCCCTCTGTTTCTGATATTTTTTTTTTTCATGACTGTGGAATTGAGATCAGTTTTTTCAGGCTGACATTCTCTCTCCTCTTCTCTTGGATTGTTTGCCCTGGAGAATCCAGTTTGATTTGTCATTAAACCTTGATTAAAGGTGTGGGTTTTTTGTGGGCATGATTAACCTAGATGGTGGAAGTTGAGAACATCACATAACTTTCTTTCAAAAATAAGCTTCTATGATTCACATCTACTGGGCACTTCATACTATTTAAATCACAATTTCATGTTTTCATGCCAATTATGTATTCAGACTTTTATTTTTCTTTGTTTTCACTTCTTTGAGTATTACATTTGGAAAGTTGATGACAGGTGAGTGCATGCAGGTGGATGCAATCTGTTCTCTCATTGCCTGTGTTCAGATTGATGGATGGTGTGCCCAGACAGAAAGAAAAAAATGAGTTCTATCACCCTCCAACAAACTATTTGCAAAATAGTAGCTTGCTTTATTAAAATTATTTTCTTGATATTTCTCTACAGGGGCTGTCATCAGTCACCAAGAACAATGGACTACTCAATATCACCTTTAAATATGACAGTAAGTTGAAAATCTGCATTATATTCACAAAAATCAAGGACCCCGTCACAGTGTCAATATATAGCAACATGTCTCGTAAAAATGGCTCTGAGAATAGCATGACCTCTTTAGTATTGACATAAATTTAAAATCTAGGTTTGTTTCTGCTCAGTCTGGTGGATCTCCTCCTTCCTGTCTTTCACTGTTAATAAAACAATCTAATAATTTGTAGTAGTTTCACTTTCAGATTGGCCTACATTATCTGCCCAGTATTTGGCTGGAAAATTATAGAGAATGATTTTATTCTGTGAAAGAATGTAGTCATTGAAATGTTCATTACACACAGAGTCATAAGAAACAATTATTTCAAACTTTATACATCTTTTCTCTGATGTGTAATTTTGGGGGAAGATGATGTAAAGCGTGTCTCAAGGTAGAAAATGAGTAGTTTGTATTTGTATGCAGAGAAAATATTAAAAATGTCTTTGCAAGAACCAATATTGAATATGAATGTTGAAGATGAATAGCATCTCTTCAGCTAGTTGAAGTAGTTGGAACTTTTTATTAGCTACAGTGTTAAAGGGCCAGATTAGTGGAAAACTACTGCCTATGTTTTCAGTGAAGTCAGATGGTTTTAGTACTGTAGCAGATGTGGTCTGTTTTGCAGCTAGACTAAGAAGAAAGTAATCTCTACAATAATAACAGTAAGAAGCAGGTTGCAGCAATAATATTTCAAACCTCTTCAAACGTCTGCTAAATGGCTGTTGTTTTCATTTTTTAAAGGTTTTTGTCATCTGTGTTGTCAGTAAGGTGTGACTATTGACTATATTGGGAATTTATCCTTATTTGGGCAGTTAGTGGCCATCGTCAATATAAGCTCAATGTACAGTCAAAAGAAGGTCCTAATTTACAGCAGTAATGTTTGTATTAATGCCAGTGCAAGTCACAGGTTGGGGTTTTTTGCCTACCCAAAGAAATTACCTCAGAGGCTGAATGTGGGTAAAATTCCATCGAGAGCATGTATCAGGAAACCTAACAATAGTGCTTTTGTTTCACTCTGATCATCCTTTTGTTCCTCTATTTTTACCTTAATTTCTGAATATGCAATCCTTCACTGAGGTGGTTTTTTAATTTAATTTTATGTCAATTTTTAAAATGAGCAAAATTTAAGTATGTCAGATTGTACAAGAGGTAAGTGGTTGCTACAAAAGAGTTAGAATTTTTTATCTACATAAAGAAAAACAGGAAATAATATCAGTCAGAGATCCCGACATTAAGTTAACACAATGGAGTCTGTTTAAGTCCCAGTATCTGTCATGTTTTTTCCATTAATTCTGGCACCAGGAACTGTGCTTAACCAATGACAAGTGTTAATTCAAAATTCTGCTGGCACTGCATGCTTCCTGAACAAAGGAGTTACTTGAGTTCTGCAGTACTAGGAAAAGTTCCCTGATATCAAGGCTAAAGAGTTTGTATGATAGGGAAATACGTATTTATCGTGAATAAGCCAGCACAAAAGAAAATTTCGCTTGCTGGCTGTGATTTAAAGGCTTTTATTTTGCCACACAGCAATTCTAGCGAACTGTGTTTTATGTTGTTAAATTAGTTGGTTAGATTATTTATTCAGGTGAAAACCAAATGTTTGTATGTTTTAGTAATTCACTTGTATTCAAGTAAAAAAGTGGTTTCCTGAAAAGTGCCATTTTCCCCTGCTGTTTTCTTCCTAAATCTGTTGTTCTTTAAAAATGTAAATTGGTGACTCACAGTCAAACTTAAGACATTTGTGCTATATTCCATTTTGGCAAATTGTCATTTGACCATAAAATTTTAGTAACCAGGATCCAAAATCTTGGGCTTGCTATTAATTAGATCCAGACCTAGCAAAAAACTGTTACTTCAAACTTTCCATTGAAAGAGATATTCTATTCTCCTAAGAGGAAGTTCATGCTGTCATTGAGTTTCACTCGTAGCAACAGAATTCTACAAACAGCAGAGTAAGTACCAACTGCCCAGCTTTTGTAAAAGGCAATGTTGTACACACTGTTCTATTCTTTTTTGCATGGCAGTTACATAAAAGACCCCTTACCGTTGTTATTCATAGTAAAAAGCCATTTTCTAAAACTGCTTTTCACTTAGTAATTTTACTTCCTTGCCTTTAAGATCATATCTCTGAATTAAATTCAAATTTTCTGCATTAGTTTATCATAACACTTGGTTTTTCATGTTACATTTCTACAAACTCTGTATAGGCAAATACATAGCATATGGATGATCTCAGTTTTTTAGAACTAATAGTCAGTGATATATAGTCTACTGGTCAACTTTTTCTGGAGTTTGTTAGCTTCACTAGTTCAAAAGCAGAATGTTTGTGCATACACATCTTCATGTATACTGTGCTCCAGAACTATTGAATTCTCTGGCCACTACTTCTCTTCCTGCCACAAAATAGGAGCCTAAATATTGTAAGGCTTTAAAAGTAATACACTTTGGGGTTATTTGTTTTGTTTTGAATGCATAAAGACATGGTCAAGTTCAATAACAGTCAGGAATGTTTTTGTTACATTTTATTTTCTTAAAGCTAAGGTTTTCTATAATCACATGTTTGCTGAGCTGTAACTTTAGGGAATACACTGTATTTTGTCAGGATAACAAGACAAAACTAGTTCTGACTAGATCCAGTTGCAGGAAAATGGTCTACGGGGACGTGGCTTCTGAATGGATGGCAGAGATAAGATAGATTTAGGCAGTAGGTTCCTTGTGGTCAGGTCAAGTAGTACCACGGTTAAAAAGCACTTCTTGAGCACCAGTTCTGAGGCTTCACATTGTTCATTGTTCTCGTACGTGCCTGATCACTGACCAACATTCTCTTGCTCTAAGCACTGTATATACACAAAATTAATGTCACTCCTCATATTCTTTCGAGTAATTAATAAGGAAAAGTTGTTCTCTGTTGGGAGTCTCAACACATGTCATTTTCACTCTTACCGTGGTACAGGCCACACTGGTATTTTGAACTGGTAATTTCCTTTGGAGTCCTGTGAACTAGGGATTTGCAACTGGTAAAAGTGGTTGTGCTCAATGATTTGTAAAGTTTCATGTTTTTCAGTGTCCTGAAACAAAAGCTTCGTCTAGATCTACAATACAGTACTTATTTTTATAGAATAAATAGTGCACATATACTTTTGCTTTGCTCAGTTTCAAAGAAATGTTAGGAAATTAACTTATTCTTTACTTATGTGGAAAGATGCAGGTCATGTTGGAAACTGGTTGCTTGAATAGATCTTTAATATTAGGTGCTGTTGGCTGATTATGATTTACTTGCTCTGGTATTGCACAAGAACATCAGCTAGAATGTTTTTCTTAAAAGTGTTTTTTTCTCCATATTTTTAGACTGCACACCTTACCTGAATTCAGTGGGAAAACACGTGATTGGAGATGTGCAGAATATAACTATCAGTCAGTATGCATGTTATGAACAAGTTGCAGTCACGATACTTTGGACAGCAAATGCCATCGGTAAGTAGTAGAGGGAAATGGACTAATTCATCATGTCATTGGTAATAACTTCTTGATGATTGCTATTAAGTAAAATAATTAAATTATGCTTGGAATCATTGAAGCAAATTGCTTAAGAAGAAAAAAATTTTTAACAGCTTTGCAAAGCTGCTATTTTTACTAGCTTACTTGAAATATCCTTAAAACTAGGATGCTCTCTGCAGCCATATGCTGCTTTTTACTATTCCAATTTGCTGAATTTTTCCTGCTCTTCAGAACTGTGTAACAGCCCTGATTTTGTTCTCTGCCCCGAGGCGTTAGTGTATTTCGGTGCCGTTGATTGAGTTTAATTGCCAATACACTTAAAGATTCTTTAGGATGCAGATTGTCTTACGGGTGGAAAACATTATTTAATCATAGCTATGCAAACTTTAATTTGTTTCCTTGTCAGGTCTGGTCACTAAGAATATGCAAACAAATGTCACTGGATGTACCTTGTTGCCCACTAGAGCAGTAGTCTCCAAAGTGGGGCATGCGAAGAAAATTTTAGAACTTCTATTTACATATTTTTTTTAAAATCTTGAAAAGAAAAACTAAGCTTTACTAATATTGAATATATTGACACTGGCACCCTTGCTTGGGCTTTATGTCAGATGTCCATGTTTCACATGCAATTCATGAGGTATCCTGAAGGAAGAGTGGGTGTTCTACAGTGTGGAGGGGTTCCGTGGTGCCCTCACTCTTTCATTTGCTTTCAGCATATCGCAACGTATTGCACTGTATGTGTGTCAGGTTAAGTGGATTTACTGATTATATTACCTAGTTTTAATTAAACTAACCATCATGATGAAACAGACAAGTGGCTTAAGATAATCGAAGATAATACTAATAACGTGAGCACATGTGAACAGCAAGACAATAGTAGAACTGACGGTTCCCCTACTCCTAGTACAGTCTCTTTGTCAGCCACATTAGAAGGTAAAAAACAGTGACTGTCTAATCAGTTCTGAAAAGAAGTTGGTCAAAATTACCAAGACTGTTTGAAATACAAGTTTACACCTGCCATTGTTAATGATGAACCTTGCCTTAAGCGTATAGTGTGCCTTGAGATACTAGCTAATACTGTGAAGCGATGAGGTTTAGCAAGATAATTGAAAACTAAGCATCCGGAACATGAAGACGAACCTCTTATGATTTCTTCAGCAATGTTTGCAGCCATGAGATTCTCAATAAAGTACAGAATTTCACTAAACTTAATGGTAAATCTTTAGAAGCCTCTTTTTGTGAAATCTCTTCTGAGATTTCTTACTCAATAGTGAAAGACAAAAAGCCACATACCGCTGGGGAAACAGTTGTTCTTCCTGCCACAGTAAAAGTGGCTGAAATAATACAGAGAAATGTTGGAATGAAAAGGATTCTGGCATAAGGTTACAGAGGTAGCACCACATATGAAATTCAGTCATCGCATCATTCATAGGGAACTATTGCAGTAATGAAGTTAGAGCCAGAAGTGCACAGGATGTCATCAGAGTGATTAGTTTTATAAACCCAAGACATTTAAACAGTAGAATCTTTACAATACTTAGTAATGAGATGGGGAGTGACCATGAAAATCTGTGCCACTGGGGGTTCACTGGTTATCTTGTGGCAAAGTGCTTAAGAGTTGTCAAACTCAAATCTTTGAGTTAAGCATTCTGCTTTCAGAAAAAGGCAAGTGTTCCAAATTTGTTGGCCTTTTCTATGATGACAAGTGGCTGTCATCCATAGTTCTATGCTACTTAGCAGATATTTTAAAAAAACCCCAAACAACCAAAACCAAACTTAATTTGTGTCTTCAAGGTAAAGGTGATGTTGTAACAATGAGTAAGAAAGTAACTGCTTTTCAAAAGAAACACGTGCTATGGAAAGAGCTTTTTGACAGTGGATGCTTGGAAATGTTTCCTCTGCTATGTGATTTTGTTGCTGAAAACAATGCCAGGTTCTCACCTATAGAAACTCTCTTATTTTTACACTTAAAAAACCCAGGAAACAGAATTTCATAGCCTGTTTAAAAATCTGAATTCAGAGTTTCAGTGGGTTTGGAACCCATTTCTTAAAAATGTAAAAATGCAACACATTCTGATTAGTTTGCAAGAACAAGTGACGTCAGGGAAGATAGGAATATGCTAGCCAAATTTCCATAAAAACCTTTGCATAATTAGAGGATGGAAGTGAAAAATGAGTATTAGGATTTAATAAATTCAGCCAGTGCTACACTTCCTCCATTTGGATCCATGTATCTTTGTGTGGTTATTTTTTAATGGCAATGACAGCCATCCCTGGAGGTATTTAAAAGAAGGGTAGATGAGGTGCTTAGGGACAAGGTTTAGTGGTGGGATGGCAGGGTTAGGTTAATGGTTGGACTTTATGATCTTAAAGGTCTTGTCCAACCTAGACGATTCTATGATTCTATGATTGAAACCAAGTAATGAAATAAACTGAATTTAGAACCAGACCTTCGAATTGCCATATCACAAAGAGTTAAACGAAGATTTAAAAAAAACCAAAACCAAACCCAAAGCATATTCAGTTACAGAGCTCTCACTCAAAAGTATTATTGCTAATACTTTTAAGCAGGAACAAAAAAGGTTTTTTGTATCATTAATAAAATAGAAATTATTTTTAATAGCTTTTAATAGTTTTAATATTTCTCATGCTTTTAAAATTTGTTTTTATGTATATTTTAAAAAGTATGTAATATATTATCACAGTAGTGCATATGTATATTTTGTAAATATACTGGGGGTTTGTGCTCAAAACTTTTTTGTTGGCAGGAGTGCAGGATCAACAAAATTTGGAGACTGCTGCACCGTGGTGCACTCTCTGTACCAACACCTGCTCATAATTTCTTTTTCTTCACACTAATTAAGGTCCTAAATAGAGTAACTTAATATAAACTCATTTTTTTTTAGTTACCAGTGTTTAGCAAATGAAAGAGGTGGAGTTCACTTCTTGAATGTTTTTAATACTTCATTAAAGAATTTTAACCGCAATGGTGCTTTTCTGTATCAATGAAATAATTAGAGTTAAGCTCAATACTTTTCAGAACATAAGAAATAAATTTCTGTTTTAGCTTTTTCTCATACAGCAGAGTCTAAACTTGATATTTCATGGGTCGTACTCTCTTAAAAAGCTTTTAAATCAGGGGTTTTTTTTTATGATTTAGTGAGAGCTGGAAGTTCCCATTTATGTGATAGGATTGCATCCTAAATGATGAGATATGGCCACTAATGCAAGGGTGTATTTATTAAAATTGATATAAATTTTTTAGCCTAGACCTGCATTTATTAAATGAAACATCTGAGATAAGAAAAATTGACATTTTTTTGTGGCATCCCAGTATTAGATCATGCTTTCATAATTTTTTAATTAAAAATAATGATTAATTTCTGGGGTTAAAAAGGGTATATGAAAATTATACTTAATTCTACAAAACTGTGCAGTTGAAAGCATTCAGTAATCTTCAGCTGCAGACTGGATGAATCAAATCTCTATGGGAAACAAAGCTTGGTGTTCTTTCTTGTAATGATCAGAGGTTAATCCTTTGGAAAGCGTGAGGACAGAACTGCCGTTGAAACATCTCGGGTAACACGGAGCCTGGACACTTTCTCTTTCATGGTCTTCATGTAAGCATAAATAGTGCTTTTGTTCCATGGAGTATTAAGAACACATTGGACAACTCATGGTCTTTATCTTCTACAAGATTATACAACATTAAAAAACCCCCTCACAAACCCATGAAAACTAGTGAAACAGAGGAGGTCCATGGAAAACCATACATTTGGGATTTTTTTTTTTTATTTGACAAGCATAACGTAAACTCAGATTAATCCATTTTGCGTTCTGTAGAATTTATCTTACAAGGGCTGTGGCTGTGTGTTCGATAAATATGTATTCTGCCATATGCAATTAGATGGAGTAGTGGTAGTTAGTCTCGAAGAACTATGGCACGACTTTGATACCCGAGTCACAAAACTATCACAGGGTGACACTCTAGCATTGTCCTGTGACATTTGCATCACTGTGACTCAGTTTAGTCATGTAATGAAGTAATTCCACAATGACAAAATTGCAAAGAAATGTAAAGACACTGTGCCAAGAGTTAGTTGTTTTAGAGTAACTTGAAAAAAATGGGTGAAGTTCTGGCATCAGTTATAAATAAGTGGAAGCATTCACTCACTGGAATAAATTCCATTCCATTTAAGTCAAGTTTTCTGTTATCTCATGCTATACTAGAACCAAAGAGGTTGTAACAGCCGCTATCACTTTAATGTGGTAGTCTCAGAAATGAGAGGAAGATGTTATAAAGGAGTATTTCTATAATTTGCTAGCAATATGTTCTATTTCATTGCTAATAATGGAAATGTGAAGTTACTATAAAGTATTCCTGAAGGTGACAAAGGCAATAATAACTTATATTGTAGTGATAATCTGGAAGCCCCAGCTGCGATATGGGCCCCTCTGCTCTAAGCATTACACGAGTATGTAGTAATTGCAGCCTTTGCCAAAGATTGAATTCTAAATAGGCAAGATAGAAAGTGTGGGAAGAACCGACATACAACAACAGGTATTAAAACACAAACATATTTCATATGAATGGTAAGTTTTATTTTTAAAGACAAATGAAATATATTCAGATTACACAAAATACCACATTATGCATTTTGAAGTATTAGTCTTCTATTTAAATGCCCTGCTGTTTGCAGGGATTGAATACCTGAAAGGATTTCGAGTAATACTTGAGGAGTTAAAATCAGAGGGAAGACAATGCCAGCAGATGGTTTTAAAAGATCCAAAGCAGCTCAGCCCCAGTTTTAAACGAACAGTAAGTGCTTTATTTCAAGAAAAGTTTCATTGTTGATTGGTTATGTGAATAGTCTTGAAAGTGTTTATATGCTGCATATATATCTAAATATATCTCTGTTTATGCATATACACAATGTGCTGTTTACTAGGATGCAGGTTGCTTCCTAAAAGTATTGTTCTTTAAGCTAGTGATAGTTGTTGATCTAGAGACAGATCTATTTGCCTTCTCTAGAAGCTTTCCTGAAGCTGGAAACTGTAATTTGGGTGACTCTGGAGTACAGGTGCACATCTGTAATAGTCCATATCCAACTCTGTATTGAGATCCCTCGTGTCAATGTGTAATGGAGGGGTAGATAAAGGATTCTTAATGTATTAATTTCTGCTTGTGTTTGCAAAACTGTGGGCCTGTTTTGAAAGATATAATAGCTGATTTTAAAGTATGTTGCAATCTTGTCTTTTTGTAGGGAATGGAGTCCCAGCCCTTTGTAAATCTGAAGTTTGAAACAGATTACTTTGTAAAGATTGTTCCTTTTCCTTCTATTAAAAATGAAAGTAATTATCACCCATTTTTCTTCCGAACTAGACGTAAGTATTGCATACACTATAGTATTACATATCATCTCTTCACCAGTGGGTACCCTCATCCCCAAATCCCTCCAGCTTTTTCATTTTCCCAGCAAAGGAATGTAGAAGATGGTGATGTTAGAGGAGTCTGGGTTAAGATAGTTACTGACATAGTCTTGGAAAGAAGTCCTGGGTGTTAAGTGGAAAGAATTTGGATGCCACAGATAAGTCTGTGGTGTATGAGAATATGTGTTTGGCAACAAGAACAAGAAAAGTCTCAGGTAGGCCTGAGGTTATTGCAGGTTTGCCTATAGCGGGATTACTCCCATGGTTCTCAGGAACATTTGACTTACAAAGATGGTTTGCTCCTTCTCCTTTCTCAACATTGTGAAGAAGATCAGGTTGGTTTTGGGTTTGAGATCACAGTTTCAAAAACAGGTATCTAGGGGTAGATATAGATGAGTACCTATAAAATTAGATAGCAACAAATCAAGTTGAATTTCTCAAAATTACTTAGCAATTCTCATTGGAGTTAGAAGAAACTTGAATAAGCTTCTCAGTTAAATACTATCATGAGAAACCGCAAGTACCTTTTGGGGTGAGTTGTTGATATTTGTCCTACTTAGTTGTTTTTTTTTTTACCCTATAAAACTTTCTTAAAATATTTTCAAGTCTGTCACTGCAAACTGCAATCACATTTGTCTCACATATATATAAAAACACATAGTGCTCAGCGTACTTATTTACTCTGAGTAAATGCATTTAAGGCTAGTTTCAGCTTCCTTTCCTGCTGTGCTATGCCCGGTGCTATCCCTTTTGTCTCATTAAGGATTGCTATTTTCAAATGAATGAACCTGTGTTTCTCATATAAAGATGAGAAGGGACTTGAAATCATAACAAAGAAGCTAACTTTGCAAAATATATTTGCTCCAGGCATATTAGAGACTGGGAAAGAAATGGAGATACTGTCATCAAAATAATGAACTCCCTTCTTTTGCCCTCATTCTTTTTCTATTGAAATAGCATTGCATTTTGGTACTGCATCATTAATAATTTTTGTATGTATTTATAGCATGTGAATTATTGCTACAGCCAGAAAACCTTGTCTGCAAACCTTGTAAGTAAAATGTCATACTTCCTATATGTATCTTAGCAAAAGTTACTGTACTTGAAGAGTCATTTTTTTCCAATTCATTAATATCTCTGACAGACTGGAAGCCAAGGAATCTGAATGTTACCCAGCAGGGTTTTAACATGCAAGTGTCCTTTGATCACGCACCTCACAACTTCGGGTTCAGATACTACTTTCTTCACTACAAACTGAAGCACGAAGGGCCATTTAAGCAAAAGACCTGCAAACAGGTACGTCACTGAGTTTTGCACCTCTTAAAAGGACAAAACCTATCAACATTAGGTGTTCTAAGGTTTTATAGGAACTTGAAAAACTTAATATAATATAGAATACTATCAGTTTAAAAATTGTTAAACTATTTGGTACTGTTTATGTAAATAATAATTGTATTATGATAGCACTTATCAGTAATCACCAAACTTGAGGGCCTCTTTGGAGCTGGATAGTATAAGCAAACAGGAAGAGACTGTTCTCTCTCTTGAAGACCCTACAACTCATTAGTACTTCTAACTGCAGTTTTATTATTTTTGGTTTACGTATTATTCCTACTTTTTTATTTCACCTTTGCACCAGATTTGACCAATTTATAGATGACCCATCTGAGATGGTATCGCAAGATGGCTCTCATTTTAGTATGTGCATGGAATTAGGCTCTCTGTGATTTTGTACAGCTGTGTGCCTAAGTCTTATTATGGGAGCTGCAATTTGCTGTATTATTTTCCTTAACTTTGGTTAGGATTCAATGGCAAGTTTGTTCTCACTGGGCAACCTTTCATCCTAAGTCTCTGAAAGCTAGGCAGCTTCAGGGCATAATGTAGAGTTTATATATTAGATCAAACTTTTAAGATTCTTTTTTTTTGGCTAATGAATCATACTTCAGTTTTGCAGGCAGAGGATTGTAGTCCTTGCATATTTGAATGGAGAGACTTGAGTTTTGCTGGTTAAAGGTGTCTTAATACAGGACGGAACTGTGTATTTCTAAATCAATGCAAATGTATTTTTTATTGGGTTTTAAAAGTACATTAATGACTTGCGAAGTATTCTCTTTCTTTGATGTAGGAGCAAAACACAGATACTACAAGTTGTATTCTTCAGAATGTGTCTCCAGGGGATTATATAATTGAGGTAATATTTATAAATAGTCATTTGTACAACAGCTAAATGAGTATGTTAATGGAGGAATTGACTGAAATTGAAGTTCTTCAAGTCACTTTTTGGTAAGATTAGACTTCAGGCATCCCTACTGAATTACCTTGGGCAAGTAAAAGTTTTTAAACAGATTGTTCTTGACCTTTCTGTAGCTTTGCTTCCCTGAGTGCATAGCAGTTTCATCTGTGCCTTCAAGTAAAGTTGTGGGCCTGCAAAATTCTTGGACTTTGATTTTTTTTTTTCTTTTAATTATTTTTTTTTTTAAAAAAAACCTGGAATTCTGTAGTTTGGTCAGTTTTTACTATACTCAAAAGATGGGTATTTCTCCTGATGGTAGAATGTGAACTCTGAAAGTTAATGTTAGAACATTAGACTGTGTACCAACAAAGGCAAATGATTCCACTAACTACTAGATTGTGGTCTTCTTTAAATTTTGAACAGTGAGTTTCTTCACATTTGGTCATGAAAGCTGGGACAGTTGTTTACGTATTGCAGAAAATAAATAAAATCAAATTTCCACATAATAAAATTCTACTTTTACTTTTTAAAGCTGGTTGATGACACTAATACAACAAGGAAAACAATGCACTATGCGCTAAAACCAGGTATGAATTTTGTTTTTTAATCAGAATACAGTATTTACCTTATTAATGTAAATTCATTTTTAATTATGTTGGAAATTAATCTTGATTTGGCCTCTGTGTGTTTGCCGTAATCAAGAGTACTGAGGCAATTGTGCTGTGATCTTTTGACCTAATGAAAAAAGAGTAGACATGCACACTTGTACCTACACATCTGCATCTCTGTACATTTATGTTTAGTACAGTTTAGATCAATACATAATTAGAAATCTTTGTGGGAAACTCACTTTTGTTTCATATGGATATGAAGAATCATAGCCTGTATCGTAATTGCATGCAACTGATGCATGCAGTAGTGTGGAAATAATGTAATGAAACTGTGAGAGCTGCCTTAAATGTGTTACCTGCCTGTGTAGTTCAGCCCTGAAATGAAATCAAGCAATCTGGAAAACCTGTCAGGTGAATGCTTAGCACATCTGTGTTTCAGACCGGTTTCTGAGAAGCTCAATAGGGATTTCAGAATGTAGGTGCAGACACAAAACATAGCTGCAGATGACGGCAACGAGTGAAATGGACTGAATCCTAATGCATGTTGCTAAACGTAATCTGTGCAGGAGGACAAGTTCTTTCTAAATGGCTAGTTCAGCACTCTGGAACAAAAATCTGACAGGTCCAAATGACTATTGCCTATCTTAGCAAAACTAGACTTCATGTAAAGTTCTCATGGGGGGAGGTATGAGTTGGCATACAGCACTTGTTAGTCACTCTAGTGCTGTCGTGGTGGGGGCAATCAGCATAAAACCTATTTAATATGGAGCAGAACATGATGATTCTTCTGTATATTTGAGAATTACCTGATAATAGTGTACTGCAGCAGTTTTACATTCCCAGTGTGAAGATTTGGTTAGATAATTATAATGCTTATGCTTATTTGCATATGGCTAATTCTACTTTATTTTTCAAAGTACATTCTCCGTGGGCTGGACCAATAAGAGCTATTGCCATTACAGTCCCTTTAGTTGTCATTTCAGCATTTGCAACGCTTTTCACAGTGATGTGCCGCAAGAAACAGCAAGGTAAGAGTGTTTATTCAATACAAAGTTCCATTTAAAGATGTGTTTTTGCAACCAAAAAAGTCTTAACTGGTAGGTTTATTCCAGAAGTATCTTTATCTAAACAGCTTTCTTCTCCTTTCTACCCCCCCCTCTCTCTCTTCTTCCCCACAGCTTTTCTGTGTGTTGAAACTTGTAGCAAATACTTAATCAGTTTGATAGTAATTTGTTGCTGTAGAAAGTATTGTATCACAAATCAAGACTTCAATGTAGAAAGGGGAGAACAAAAGACCTGTTGGGAAATATTTTTGGTTTCAGGTTTCTTTATATTTGTGAAAGTACTGCATGACCATGTAGAATACAAACAGATCTGTTAATTGGTGTATTTTAAACATTCCCTTATTTAATTCAGAAATGTCTAATTCATACTTCTTTTAAACCAGAAAGAAAGTAAAACCATGTAATACCAATACAGTTCTCGGCACTGTCTGGATATTATTCCAGATTTGCTCACTTTCCTGGAAGTTGCCTTTATACTTCATCCTAAGCCATCTTCCTAAATTTACTCTAAGACTTACTTGCAGATGTTTCTCTAAATTAGATTCCATCCCTCTTTGCTGACTTCTCTCTCCTCTGTGTCCAGGAGCTGGCAAGCCACATACGTGTTGCATTGAGATGTTAAAAATCAATTGGCATTTTTTGTAGAATCTAGGGAATCATGTGGTTTTGTGAATACGGAAAAAGAGATTACTTCCCCAAACCTCACGTATCTGTGTTATCCATCTGAATTTTGGCACTGAGGTATACTGCAAGTGCTATGTGCCATCTGGGTTAAATCCTTTTACCTTCTGGTCTTCTGTGTCTATCCCTTTGCTCACAGCTAGCACAGTTCCAACAAAAAACCCAGACAAATCACTAAGGATTTGTCTACAGAGAGAGTTGTTCCAGAATAGTTATTCCTGATGAATTGTTCTAAATTAAATCCCTAGGTGGATATTTATATTTTGAAATACCCATGCTTTATTCCAAATTAGCTTAATCAACTGTAGGACTAGATTGAATTAGTCTGGCATAAGATGAGACTTCTATGTGCCAGCATGAAAGCATCTATACAGTGAAAAAAACATTAATAGCTATTTTGACTTAAATTAATTATATCTTAATTCAAATTAATGTCAAATTAATGTCTAAACATTTGTGTGTATATATATACCAGAGAGATACTGTATTATGTTCTGAAGGGATCTGTGTTCCTGGAGTTTAATATTCTTAAATGGCTTGTGTCATGTTTTCATTAAAACGAGATTTTGTTATAGAGAAACTCTTGACGATGATACATCTTTAAGGTTTATAATATTTGAACAAAGAGGCAAAGCTGGATAGAAGTGAAACTGCCTCATTCTATTTATAAAATAAACCTTTCTTGAGTTTATCGAGTTGTACAGTAATAACTGCACATTTCACTTCCAAAGTGTGTTCCACATCTGTAGCAAGTCATAAGCTGGATAAATAGAGTATGTGCAACTTTTCAGGCTGGAAAGGAAAAAAGTATCTCTTGAAAACGGTCATTATAGTATGCATCAGTAACAAGCCTACAAAAGTTTAAAACAAAACAAACCCAAGCTTTATAGTGTGAACTCTCTTTCTCTCTTCCAATTTAGAAAATATATATTCCCATCTAGATGAGGAGAGCTCAGAATCTTCAGCATATGCTGCAGGTCTCCATGTGGAAAGACTTCGTCCCCGGCCAAAAGTGTTCATCTGCTATTCCAGTAAAGATTGCCAGAAACACATTAATGTCATCCAGTGCTTTGCTTATTTTCTTCAGGACTTTTGTGGCTGTGAGGTAAACTCAATATTTCTTCTGTAAACAGTGTTTCCTTAATTGAGAAGGCAGCCCCCAAACTCATAACAATATGTGCTTGAAAATGGCGTATTTCAGGCTCTCCCTTCCACAGAGAAAACTTTCATGATTTTTCTAAATATTGGCTATATAAATTTTCATTACTCAGGGAAAGGAACAGATCATAGCCTGCGTAAAAAAGCAGAATAGTGGAAAATATGTACTGCATTAGTTCCAGGACTTTCATTCAGCTGTGTTCAGCTTGTTTTGTATTAACTGCTTTTTCTGTTTAGTAGGTCTTGCATCTTTATGGTTGGCAGCCACAAAGAGGTATTAGTGTCTACCTGATATATTCAGTATTCCTAAAATATGTTTTATATTGTAATTTTAAAGTAGTCTAATTATCAAAACTCTAACTCATAGAGAAAAATCTGTGTAATTAGGATTAATTGTTGACATTATGTATTAATTTTTATTGGGTTTTATTTTTTTTCACCTCTGTTCTGTTCCATACATGTTGTAAAATCGGCACGTCTTTTTCTTGTTTTTGATTTAAAGCTATGAGAAAGACATTGAAATTACTACTTGGAATGACTAGGCTTAGAATCTCAGACTGCTTTCTAAAATATAATCAATATGTGGCAGGTCTTTCACTTTTCAACTATAAAAACGCAAGACAATTGTTAGCCTGTTGTTGCTGCATTTTAATCCTGCCACCGCGATTATAAATGTCTGAACTGGAACTGGTTTTTTCAACTATACAGCAAGTCTGGCCTCTAGTGGCCAAAACCAGGAACACGAGCGATGCCTCACGTGTTGAGGGATGTTCACAATTTATCCATATGTTTAAAATAGTTTTAAGTAAGGTGTTTTATAAGTAACTGATTTGAATCCCCTTGTTAGAGATGTACTTCAGCCCTGCTACACCATACGTCTTTGGAATAGTGTTAAGGCGAGCTGTTACCGTTACAACTATGTGCCATGGAACATACGGTATCAGGCATCATTTAAGTTTTATGTAACAAAATATTGATAGCATCTACATACAGAAATAATATGTGTTGTTATTAAAGCTGTGGATTTTAATATAAAAAGTGATGCTCAATGCATAATGAAACAGATTCACAAGTATTTTTCATATGGAGTTGGAATGTTTTCTCATAAAGGACAAAACCAGTGGCATTTAATAGCTACTCGAAATAATAACTTGGCCGTACTAAAAATCCTTTCTCACAGGTAGGAGATCAGACAGTGTTTTGAAGAACAGAAACAAAAACAGACACAAAAGGAAATACTACCTGCATTGTACCTACTTTATCAATGAGTATCTCCCCAAGGAGCTGTAAAATTACTCCTCTTCCCCGTGCATAGAACACACCAGTTCAGCTGGAGGGGACCTGTGGTGATCATCTGGTCCAACTGCCTGACCACCTCAGACATGAGTACTTCCTTCTTCTAGCTGACTATGTGGTGACAGTTTTCATGAGGCCTAGTGTTCTAGGCATCCACCTACTCTCTGTCTTCTGACATGGCAAAACTCTCCACTCTGTTGTGGGTGAGATAGCAGAGCAAAAATACTTTGTTCTCTGGAAAAATGCTTGAGAGAAGACTTTATGAATGGGTTTGATGTGTATCTATTATGAAAGTTTTTTGCATCTATTTTTTTCTGTTATTCTACTGCTCATTCTTTCTTTCATGAGATAAAGCATTGTGTCCTTCATCTTGGTGTACACGGGTATTTCAAACCACATAGAATGTTCAGAAAATTTGACAAAGTACAAAATAAAACAACTCTTAGGATAAAATTTTCAGAGCTTTCTTATCAGAGATAAGCTGCTGCTGCTGTTTTACATCCTTACTGAAAGGACTTGATGTTACAGGCACTAATTATGTTTATATCTAGATATGAATATTCTTGGCATCAGACTACATTAATATGCAAAAGATGACAAATGCATATGGATTTCCATTACATTTAGCACATTAAGAACCCAAATATACAACAGTTAAATTGCTTGAGGCAGGCACAATACATTGTTTATTGTGGATTGATGATACCTAATTTGATCAGATAAGTAAATAGTAATTTCCGGCCACATTTTCTTTTTATTCCCTGAGAAATATTGCTGTGTACCAAATTCATAGTGGTTTTATTTTTTAAGGAACTATCCAGTTTACACTCAACTACTTGGCTTTGCACTGTTACTTGTTGGTTCCATAAATTTATACATAACACAGGTATAATTAGGTATGTTTTTCTTTTAACTAATAAAGAAGTAGCAAAATGGGTTCATATAGTAGCTAGCATTCTTGTTTTTAAAAAAAAAAAAAAGTAGTCTGGAAGGTTTTACTTTTTACATTAGCAAGTCACCCAGTTCCTCAGCCCGTTGAAATACTCAGTCTGCAAGCAAAGTTTAGAATGAATGTGAGGCCTTGCTTATTTTGGTGAATAACTGCTGACAGTATCACTGACTCCAGTTGGTCCACTATCAATGGTGTGTTAATTATTACCTATTTCTCATTTAAAACAGCTTGTATTTGCATCAGGGACAATCTATAGTTAAACTCATCATTAATTCTCAATTATCAGATAAATACAAGCTGAGTCACTGAGTATAACTCATTCAAATTGTATTAGTAAATATATCTAATAATCTAATAATGAATATCAACCAGAATATTCTTTTCTTTTACCAGAATATTCATTTCTTTTCTAGGTGGCTCTAGATTTGTGGGAAGACCTAAAAATTTGTAAAGAAGGTCAGAAAGAGTGGCTTATTAAAAAAATAAATGAGTCCCAGTTTATCATCATTGTGTGTTCCAAGGGAATGAAGTACTTCGTTGAAAAAAAGAACTGGAAACACAGAGGTGTAACCAAAGATGCAGGAAAAGGAGAACTCTTTCTGTTCGCTGTCTTGACTGTTGCAGAGAAGCTTCGTCAAGCAAAGCAGAATTCAAATGACCTCTGCAAGTTCATTGCAGTCTACTTCGATTACTCCTGTGAAGGAGACATCCCTGGTATTCTGGATCTAAGTACAAAATACAAACTCATGGACAATCTCCCTCAGCTGTACTCGCATTTACACTCCAGAGATCTTAGTGTACAGGATTCAGAGGTGTTCCCTGTTAACATTAGTAAAAGGAATTATTTCAGGAGCAAATCTGGGAGGTCCCTTTATGTTGCCATTTGCAATATGCATCAGTTCATTGATCAGGAACCAGATTGGTTTGAGAAACAATTTATTCCCTTCCCTCCACCTTCTTTATGTTACTCAGAGCCTGTCATGGAAAAATTTGATTCAGGCTTGGTTTTAAATGACTTGGTGAATAAGCAGGTGATGGATGGTGATTTTTACCTGAAAACAGATATAAATATTATTTCATCTGGGAATTCAGACTCTCACTGTACAATTCAGCACTTAAACCTTGGAGAAGATGTAGAAACTCAGGACATTCAAGGTGGTGGCAGCTCTGTTCTTCAGCCGTTGTTACACATTGTTAAAGCTTCAAATCTTAAAGATATGCCTCGAGATTCTGGAATCTATGATTCGTCTGTTCCTTCATCTGAATTATCTTTACCTTTAATGGAAGGACTATTGACAGACCAAATTGAAACGTCTTCCATTACAGGGAGTGTTTCTTCGTCATCAGGTTTAGGTAAGATACAGCAGTGTTTCAGAAATTATATTAAATTATTGTGAGTATATTTCTACCATCTCAAAATACTTAAGATATGTGAGGAGCCATATAGATGGCTGCAGAGGAAGGTAAACATTGTATAAAGATGGTAAAAAAGGTAGGTTTTGGTAACTTCAGAAAAATTAATCTTTTCCTTAACTTATTGGGGGGGGAGGATTCTTAACTAAGTAAGATTTCACTAGAATTCTATTAATAAGTCACTTCTCTTTAATTGACCTATTATTGGAGAGACAGCTTCTTTCTTCTGGGGACTCCTTGGCAGCTGGGATACTCAGCTGACAGCTGTGTGGCTTAATCAAGAGGGTGATACGGTGAAGCATTCTTGCAGAATGGCCATAAATCTAAAACTGACGTCCCGTTTTGCTCCAGCACATACTAGAACCTTTAGGGATATAGTCTGTACTGTGGTTAACTCAAGTTTCAGAATGACATTAGGCTTCTCATTGGATATGGGGCTTGGGGGAAATGAACAAATGGGTTTCAGTGGAGGAATTTAAATGCTTGGAAGACACTCTCCAAAACAGGTACCCGCTTAGACGCCTACAGTTAGAAGGTGTAAATATTGCCTCAGGCTATATAAAAAGCTGATCTGATGTTACTAGTTACAGTACATTGAACTGGTGTCACAATTACATCAGCATGGAATGTTCCAGCAATTGGAACACAGGATAAAACTGCTATTTCAGATTTTCCTTAAGCATCTACAACAGGTGAATATTGTATTTTGACGGTGGTATGCTGTTCTGCTTTCTTGAATGAATGTTGACAGTGAGCTGATTTGTTAGACTTTTCTCTTGGCTAAATGAATTTTGTTTTTTTATTATTCAGATGATTCATAACTAATGTTTGATGCCAGAATTATCTTGGAGGAGAGAGAATATAGATGTTGATTTACAAATAGAGCATCTATATCTATAGGCTAGATAGTCTATAGGACAAAATAACTAAAACCTGAGAACTTTTCAGGTGGAAAAAATACAAATTTACTGATTTAATTACATCAGCCACAAATACTCTGTTATTGTTTCATAAATTCTTTAATTTCCTGCCGTCTTCTAACCTAGCCTTTTCTCACACTTGTGGCCAAAATTACAGATTGTATCTGTAAACATTCAAGTGTTGGATAAAAGTAGGATGCTAGTTTAAAATTTATGGCATTTCTGTAAGAATGCTTTACCAGTATTCCCCTCCTGATTCAATCGCAGAACTGTCAGCTGGGTATCCCAGCTGCCCAAGGAGTCACTGGAAGAAAGAGGCAGTCTTTCCAGTAATTAATTTTCAAGTCACATACCTACTTGTTAACATGTTTCAACCTCGTGTAGAGGTTAAAACATTATAGCACTAGCTGGTAGAGTTGCATCTTAACACTGATGTTCCAACATCTTAAGAAACCACAGTAACTTCTGCCATTTTCCCATTCACTGTCCCTGTCCAAAAGCACCACCTTGACAGACTCCGAAGCCCCCCCCGACCCACAGCACAGTCCTAATTAGGTGCAGGGTACAAAGGAGACGGTATCTAGAACCGAGCATCATCTGCCTATTAGAGTGCAACCCATCAGGTCTTTTTACTGTCCCAGACTTGCAAAATATTATAGCCCTAATATTTATATGCATAATAATGAGAAGAGTAGGTAAAATTTTTTAGCTTTTGTTCTTGTTGTAAGAGTGACAACATGTCCAAATTCTTACGCTGCTATTTTTTATCCATGACTTGGTCAGAACAGAAGTGACTAGAGCTGTCATTTAGTATCTCGGAGTAGATCTTCCCTTTCTTCTTTAAAGACAGTTCGATTTAATCTTTTGAATTAAAATCATAAGTCATATAACTTGTAATACTCTCTATCTTTCAGTGCAGTTCATGTGCAGACTACTGATCTGCAAAGAAAAGATTCTCAAAGAGATCGTTGTATTGAGCATCGTCAGCTGAATTTCAAACCAATTTAATTCTGAGGAATTATCAACAACGAAACCTTTACTAGGTCCATTCATTAATAAGATCTTCTTTAAGAAGCCCTGCCTGGGGAGAAAATTTATATTAATTCTTTAGATAAGGAGTTACTGAACATGGTAGTTCAGCCTCATGAATGTTTGGCATTATGGTGCAGAGGCTTTTCATAAGTTTTCGTTGCATTTTTTCTAAAATGCTGACCAAATACAGAATCAATGTTTCAATTAATGAGCCTCACTCTTTTTCCTTTGACAGGGGAAGAAGAACCTCCTGTAATCACTGCTACAAAATTCTTAGTGCCTGGAATATGTAAAGCAGAACTTCATTGCCATATCCATACTGACGAACTGCAGGCAATTGCTCCTTTATAATACATTACAACATTGTTATGCATTGCCACTTTATCAACAGCCTCTGTTTGTGCTTTAACTACCACACTGTCTCAGCACTAAATCTACTTGAAGGAACAAATACTTCCTGAAGAAGATCTGTTATTCCTAAGGGATTTTTCTGTGGCCAGTAAACTTGAATCTGTTGGTCTTTATATAAAGTCTTTCATAATTTGAAAAATGCAGCATGGAAAAATAGATGAGAATACATTTCAAAGTTATTCCTATTACTAATTTAAACATCATGATATTACACTGTTTACAGATGTCATAATCAAAATTGACTTTCTTTTGGTAGGAATAATCTTGCAACTAGCTTGGAACATTAACGTCTTAGTAAAATTTGTAGTCCAGCCTTTAGTTTTAAGTGCTGACATACTTGATGGCAGGAGTGTTGTAGTCAATGAGAGCAGGATTTTTTTCAGAAGCAAGATAAAATGCCAAAGGTGAGATGAAGAAATTCTCCATCAGAAGAAATAATTTTCTTCTAGAAATGTTTGAGCTTCTTTTCTCACAGTCTCCTCTCTTTCCCAAATGTTAATGTGTCTCCATATTTAATTTCAGATAAAGGCGTATCTCCCTCTTCTGTGTGATTCTCCTATCTCTTCCCTGCAATCTGGCTATGATGATTCATGAATAGTACCATACTGAGTCTGAAGTATCATTTTTATAATAGACAAAAATATAGATCCTGCATATGCTGAGTGATACCATGGAAACCAAATTCCCTGTTTTCTTCCTCGAAGGGCTAATACAAAGAATATTTTAAAGAGATGGGGGAAGGCAGGCCAAATTTTGTATTCAAGACATCATTCTGGATTTGTTCAGCCATGAGATGAGTAGGCTTTATGGGGGATTTGATAATATCCTTCAAGGACATGCTGGTACAAAATCCCCTTGGGTAAAAGAAGTTGAGAAGTAGTTAACAGGCATGAATAGTTTGTGTTGTTTTGAGCCAACCAGTAAATGGAAGCCTATGAGTTATTTTGCAGTTATTTTTCACACTACTTATCATTACTTAGTGATTAAGATAGTATACTATTACTAGTGTTATATTAACAAAAGAATGCTAAAAATACCACCGGACATGTTTTTCTAAAGACACAGAGTGTGGATGTCCTTTCTTTTGCAGTGACCAGGTGGGTGTACCATCATCCAAAATATCTCTGCTGTTTTCAAAGAGCAACTTTTCATAAGTAAAACCCATCTATGTAACTACAATTCTAGGCACAACTATAATAAGCATGCTAACAGCAAATAGTCAAGGACACCTTACCAGTGTGCCTCTGCTAATTTTGCTCATGGAGTCAGATTCTGTCTCATTTAACCTGTCTTCACATTCCACTAACAGGAGGTTACTTTACGAATACATCAAGGGAGAACTCAAACACCTCAAATATTCTCTCAATTTTGATAGATGAGAATTAGCCATTGCTGTTACATTGTATTATCCATTTTAATAACATGAGATAGAACTATTAAACCAGTAATTATTTTGGCTGAATAGCTTTAAAGCTCCTGGGGTTTTTTTGCGTCAGTTTATATTTAAGTGTTTGAATTCCAAACAAAAGATTCTTGAAATTGTTGTCACAGATGGAGTAAGAAAGTGCTGTAACAATTTGAATATTACCATTGATCACAGAACTCCAGCATGCTTTCCAGTTGTAATACGGAATTCTGTGATCAGCTAGGTGTATGTGTTCCCTACTCCTGAATTTGGAAGAATTTCCTGAATTTGGAAGAACACTAATTGGAAAACCTCAAACTCGCAATACCTAAGTAAATTTAGGTAGTTTTACGTACATAGTGAGTCATCTGCACTTTTGATGATTTTTTTTTTTTTTTAATGCTTTGGCTGTAGCGAAAGCAAAATTCTTCATGTTTTCCTGTTCTTTGAAGTAATACCTGGTTCAAACTAGGCAAAATAATCTTGAGTAAATGTTCCTCCGCTAAATCCAGCTATGAAGGATCCCGATTCAGAGCAATTCTTGCTGTTTTACTAGAGAAAGAGTTTGGATTGATAAGACACGGGCAGAAAGGTCACAAAACTTGTGTGCTGAAGAGAGCTGCTGTGCATAGAAATGCCAAAGCTGCAAAACATGAGGAGGAGGCAATTTCTTAGCAATTTGCTGGTGAAGGTAATGCTGCTTTCCTCCGTGGAAAGCCCCAGCTCACGTACTGTTACTTTATGTTAGACTAAAGATTGGGAAGATTTCCTGGTTCTGTTAAATTCAGTAGCAGAGTTGGTATTACTTAAATGGCATTAGGTTTTCATTTTGTGTTTTAAGAAAGCTGTTTCGAAAACGGATGAAGGCAGTTGCACAAAGAATTACTTGTCAGTAATGTTTTTATTTCTTCAAAATTTGCTGTGCAATCCTGCAAATCTTATTTTTTTAATTATAAAAGGTCTGTGGAGATGCCAGTTAAATCCGGGGGGGCACAGAAGAAAAGAATTCCTTCATTCCTTCTTAGCATAAGGTGGAAACAGCATATTATATGTCCTCAGAAGAAAGAGAATATAATAACTGAAAATTCAGAGTAGGACAGCCCACACTTAAAATATACAAAATTGAGAAAAGTAATACTTAATCTGACTTAGCGTAATTTTTTTACAAAGCCCCAGTGCTTAAAAAAATTAGAAAAATATTGTGTATATTGAGATGCTGGAAGGACATAGTACTGAATTTGCAAGAATTCTGTATTTTCCCCTCCAATGAGAATAACAGCAAAAACCCTTGTTAAAGAAATATTTTTAAAACAAATACGTTAACGCACATGGTAGAGGTTAGCTTACTACTATTTTCAAGCATTAGTAAACTCTAAGCAGAATGTTAACAGTGAAAGGATCCCTTTAATTTCTACTAGACTCAAGTGTGTGGACATTGTTTGGATGTCTTAAAATGTATTTTCTGGGAGGATGGAAAAAACATTGGAAGGCTGAAGGTTCAAGATATGGCAGCAGGTTCAACATTTTAAATGATAAGTATAGTTGTTGCCATAATTTGTACCTGTACCTAAACACATCGTTGAAAATAGAATGCAGTTGACATTTGCAGAAATAAAATTTTTATCATACTATAATTTAGAAGTTGAATATCAAAACATTTTTGTTCAGTTTCTTTCATTTGGCTTTTCTTAGTAGTATAAGAAGACTTGGCTTAAGAGTCCAGTTGTTTTATCCAAAACACTTAATGTCATTATGCACACCGCATAATAACCAGACTCTCTAACTGCTATTCATACTCTACATCTGGAAGTGAAACAGATATTTTGATGGGTGCTTTAACATAGTCAAGCAACTGTAAGAAACTTCAATTTTCTAAAACTTCTGTATTGGATAGATTGTGTCTGATTTTTTTTTTTAATAAAACTGCCTTAATGTGATTTTATGTAATTATTTTTCCTATATCCTCTTGAAGGTCTCCTAGCAGTACATCATTGTGCATGTCAAGTGAAATCTGTCCACACCACAAAACTATAATGACCTGAATTGGATTAATTTTGTCAAAGAGGATGTGATAATTACCTAAGACTTGTATGCTTTTTGTTTTCATCCAAGTGGCTTTCAAAGCATGGTCCCAGTCAATGAACCCTGCAAACTGCAATTTCAGGGATAAGCCTTGAAACAACATGTATTCCTTATGTTGCTCAGGTAAATGAAGCGTTTTTATAATGAATTTATGGTCTGGCACAAAGAAACTCAGAATGCTATAGAAAAATCTGTAATGAGTCTGTAAAACTTGTTACTATTGAAGACATGAACTGCTTACTTAATATCAGGTAGTTTGCATACACATTAACTACATTGAATTTATAGGATGATGTTTATAATGTTTATACCTGTTGTCTTGTTTGGGCCTCTACCCACAATTCTTAATTCTGCTTCTATCACCAGGTAAACTGGAGACATTCTGAAGGGTCACTGAGCATGTGAATTGTTCCATTAGTAATTCAAATGAGAATTTGATAAGTTACTGCTCTGTATCTGAACAGAACTTCTTTGGGATGTGTCATCTGTATGTATGTTCTGCAGTCCTGATCTCTCTGTCCTCTGCCTTGGAGCCCTGTACACGAGGGGCTTTGTGGTTGACAGAAAATGGAAGGATGGTGTTGCTCTAGTTTTTATACCTTCCGTTTAAAACATGAGAATGCTCAGGATGCTTTCCTGATGTTTGGGAACTGTTGGCCAAAATTCTTACACCTTGGAATGTGGAAAGATATGCTTTGATATGAGGATATGCATATGGATAAATACATCTTGAAAATTTTAAGTAATCTCTCATTTTTCTTTTTTTATCATGTATTTAAATATTTTAGTGACTTGATACTGAATCCCCCCCCCAACCACCACACAATGGTAAACACTTTTTGAGTTATAGTGAAAAACATGCACTGCACACAATATGTGCATTCAAACTATAACTGGTCAGACGCAAATTATTTCTAAAAAGTCAGAAGTTAAAGGCCAGTAGACACCACTGTGGTGCCACCATAGTGGCACCACTATAGATCAGCTGAAGGAGATTTTCCCTCTATCTCTGTAAATTATTTTATTTTACTTGCTATAATTTCTTGCTGTTTATCAGGCTTACAAAAAAACCAGAACAATGGTCAATTTATGTCTTTTATAATGTGATACAATTACATTCTTTATTCTCTTAGAACTGATTTAATAAAGTCTGTTTTACCTATGATGTTCATTTTTATGGGCAGCTGCATTGTTGTCAATGACTTCATATTTATAGCAGTCCATGGGAAAAAAGTAGAGATTGGTCATATTGTCCTGTTCACAAAAAGCAATGGAAAAGGAAATGTTCTTTCCTCAGTGTCAGATGATGTCACCTAGATGACCAGAAATTGAAGTGCTTGCCCATACCTACCTCAGTGCTAAAAGCTCAATTCTTAGTGATTTTGGTATTTTGCTCTGATACAGATACTTTGGGAAGGGTGGGAGTTTGAAAACATTAATGTGAAACTGTGGA